TTAAGTAAATTTTGTTATTATGTTATTAAGCATCAAGTAGGCAAGTCAGCTTTGCCTATCTTATGGAAAGTCGACATTTAATGCCTGAAAATAGCTGGAAAATGAGTATGAATTACTCAGAGAAAAATATTGTCGACAACAGAAACTTTAGAACAATTGTATGGAACAACCTCTCGGCCTACCTTTTCAGGCCTATTCAGGCCTTGGCAATGTGTTCATTGCTTCCCAAACTTGCACTGAGTTCAGTAGGAGTTCTGAATGTATCCAGAACAGAAGGCACTGCCCACATTTCCTACAGTGGCAAAACTTCTGCCGTGACATGTGATGGTTTATCACTGACTCCCAGATCCAAAATCTCATTCACCAGGTCACAGAAGTTGAGCAGAGCATGAGTGCAGTAAATGTCACAAGTATTTCAGACCAACCCAGAATTTAAAATCCTTGGTTGTGAATAACACAGATGGTATCAGTGCTATCTTTTCAGCTTTAATGCCAAAGCCTAAGCGAGCAAAGGAAAACAATCCTTCCACACTTCATTTCAGATGCTATAATTCAGCTTTGCATTTTTAAGGACTTTTCTACATAAATAAATATGTCAGTTTTCTTGTCAAGTTTTTCTGTATTAAACTTGAGAACTGTAGCAATGTTTATGTACAATGAATGGTTCAAAATTAATTACTTACTGACCTGTAAGAAGAAAACCTTATAATTTACCAGCTTTTTTGTTCCTGCAATTAATATGAGAGACAGTTGCAAACATCTTGTGCTTTATTCTAGTCTTGCTGTTCTAGGGACATGGTAGTAAGCATTACACCAAAAATGACCAAAAAAAAAAAAAAAAAAAAGAAAAAGAAAAAGAAAAGAAATAACAACTAAAGACAGAAAATCTGTCTACTGCTGACAAACCAGAATGAGTTACAGGGAGTTGGTCTCTGCACTTAAAGCACTCATGTTTTCAAAATTGCTTTCATATTGTCAGGACCCTGAGGGTGTCACCAGCCCCATGCCTTGGGGCTCCCCCAAACCTACCCACAGCCCAAGACTTCATCTTAGCCCCACAAGAGCCATAAGTCCCTGGCCCAGTGATGTCTCAGCAGGGCCCATAGCCTTGCCTCCCCAGACATGAGCCCAGCCTGTGGGCTGATGTCTCGTTCTGACCCTGACCGGTCCCCGCCCCTGTCCCCAAGGAGCTGCTAAGCCACTGAGAGGCTGTGCCTCACCCTACTTCTCCACATTGTGTCTGATAATTTAAAACATTATTTTAAAAAGGAAAATAGTCATTCACAATGAACATATATTTCCATTTCATAAAGTGCTTGCATTTTAATGAAGAATATAGTTTCCTCGCAGCAGGTGTTAACATCGAAATGAAAAATTAGATCATTATATTGTGTATCTGCCTTTGAAAGAATAAATTGAAAATAGGATTTACTAAAAACACTGATAATATCTCGAAATCCTTATTTGTCTTTAAAGCTATATTAAATTTCATGGGGTTTCTAGTTTGCTTGAGGTATTTCAAGATTGTTTGGGGAAAACACAGTGGAATGTTTTTCCAAACTGTCACAACTATAGGTCTGTCTGAAGTGTGACCTGTTGATAGCCTTATGGAGGTGCATTTTGATCCATGTATCCTCCCTTGTTCTAGGAAAGCTTTAAAAATAATTACAAAGCTTTTGATTCTCAGTCTTTCTGCATGAAATGCCAGAATTAAAGGTGAAATGTGAGGCCACAGGAATCTGTTCTTAAGCTGATTCTGCAGTCCCTGAATGTGTTTACCTAATTTCCATGCAGTATCAAGGGCTACTTTTGGTGTTTTAAATTAAGTAAATACAAAAATCTTTCCACGATTAGGGTTATCCTTTAACACTCTCACTTATTTTCATCAGCAATTTCCTCTGAATTTCCTCCTCATGAAGCTCCATGACCAGACAGGTTTGGTGCAGGCTGAGGAAAACTCTAGCAGAAGCAGACAAATGAACGGCTTACTAGACAAATAGTTTGTGCCATTAAAGAGCTACAGTCAAATATTATGAATTTCACTTTGTCCTCTTGATATATTTTACTGATGGTTTTACTTCTTAAACTTGAAAATTTTCATATCTTTTATTCTGAAGAGTATAATCCATCAAGGAATAAACCTATAGGAATTAGAAGTCTCTGTGGCACAGCTGTAATACCCCTTATAAATATCTGTGATGTTATATTTCTACAAATGTGAACAGCCTTTGTTTTCTGCTGTGAATGCAATGAAATTAAAAGCACAGGCTCTAATGGTCTACAATAAGGAAACCTACAGTTATGTCAGGGTATGGCCATGTGTACATGGATGTATCATAAAGCTTTTGAGGAACTTTTTTTTTCAAGCAAACTAAATTTGCAACTGTACAGCATATCTTGTTAGGTGTCAAAATAATCCACAGGACTTTTTAGAGCTTACACCATTTTTTAATCTACTTGGCATGTACAGTGCTGAATTAGAGCTGTCTTCATTATAAAGCTGGAAATTACTTTCTATGGTTATTTGATTATCTCAATTCATGTGTAGAGGAATCTGTAAATACAGCCCTTCCTCTTTACTTTGTATTTTATTTTATTCTTATATTGTATATTCTGATATGTTCTAGAAATTCTATGCTTTCATATAACCATATTTCATTTCTAACCTCCTTCTGACTCAGGTTTTTTCTTCTGTATCTCTCCTATGCCCAGTGCTTTCAGCTGTAAGGCAAGGTTATTGTAATAGTTTAGTTCTTCAGTTCTTCCCAGGGAAGTAATTCTCTTGTTAATTAACTTTTTTTTTTTTTTTTTTTTTTTTACTGCTTCCCAAACCAGGTAATATTAGTTTTCTTTGTGGCACCTTATACTCAGGAATAATTCTGCTTTACACAACAGCCCTTTTTTTTTTCTGGAGGAGGGGAAGGGAATCAGTTTTGGCTAGCTGGAAGACATAAATAGCAAAATGCTTCAGAAACATGAGAAAGTAAAGAAAAAAATGATAGAGATTCGTAGACATCTATGAAACTTCTCTCAGTTGTTGTGGTTTAACCCCAGATGCAACTCAGCCTCATGAAGACACTCACTCCTGCCTCCCTTCCCCCATGTGGTGGGGGAGAGAATCAGGGGGTAAAAGTGAGAAAATTCGTGGGTTGAGACAAAGACAGCTTAATAGGGAAAGCAGAAGCCATACACACAAGCAAAGCAAAACAAGGAATTCATTCACCATTTCCCATGGGCAGACAGGTGTTGAGACATCGCCAGGAAAGCTGGGCTTCATCATGTGTAACAGTGACTTGGGAAGACAAACACCATCATTCTGAATGTTCCACTCTTCCTTCTTCCCCCAGCACTATATGATGAGCATAAGCCATATGGAATGGAATATCCCTGTGCTCTGTTGCAGTCGACTGCCCCAGCTGTGTCCCTTCCCTCTGCCCGTTATTCCATAGGGTGTAGCTACTTCTCAGAAAAGCACTATGCTTAGGGAGAAAGAGAGGGGAAAGAGTTTTGGTCTCATCCCATTGATGTACAAGCAGGCACCAAATATGATGAGTACAAATCTCTTCATCACTAGCTCTTGTAATTTCATTTATCTGGTTGCGTACCCACCCTGCAATTCTTATTATTAATCTCTGTATTGTTTGGTTTACCTAAAAAGAGCTTGTAGTTTATTAAATACTTCAGTCAAGTCCAGAGAAATGACAGCTGCTATAAAGTCCTCCGTATAGAATCTGTAAAATATACCAGCTTAGGCTGGCATAGTGTATTTTGGCAACTATCACCTTTTCAATTTTCTTTCATATCTTCAAGTATTCATCTGTCAAAATATGTATGTTCTCAGAACAAGTGCCTTTAGTGAAGTTTTAGCCCCAGGCAGAATTTTATCTTAGAAGTCATACATAGAAATATAAATCTCAGGTGGCTTTACTGAAGTTTTGTATATTGTGCAATGTAGATTGTATTTGGTGCTCCTCGCATACATAGGTAGTCAAATACATATCCTGTGTGAGCAGAATCTGATTCTTACTTGTCTTTCTTTTGTTCCTCCAGTTTGGTAAATAAAACTATCCTAATGTTTTCCTACTTAAAAGGGAGGTGGTAGAAAAAAAGCAGCTTTCCAAATCTAATCTGACACAATACCGTTTTGCAGTAGCTTTGTAATTATTAAACTGTTGTCACTAACATTTAATGCATAAATTAAGAGCTGTATGTAGTTTGGGGATGCAATACTGTGTATTTCACAAAGACACTAATCAGATATCTCACTAAAATGCCTTGCAGAAGGTAAGGTTGTTTTGTTTTGTTTTTTCCCTCAGGGCAAACTTCAGTGTTTTGTAGCAGAAGTCTGTATCGTGGAACAGCAGCTGGTAACAGGCTGTAGGAAAAGTGCTGTCTGGTGAGTAAACATGCCTGTAAAAAATAATCTCATTTATATATACTTTGTTGGAAAAAAAAAAAAAAGTCGTTGACACCTTATCCACATATAAAAATATTGTTGAGATGGTGTGTATATTTGTATTTATTATCCCTCCCCAAAACATTACTTGTCTATGACCAAAGTGCATATAACGATGTAGGGACCGCATTATCTTCACTGATTCCGTTTCTCTCAGCCGCCCACGGAGAGGCCCGTAGAGAGCACTCTTTGTTCATCCGTCTCCTTGTACACGGTGGGTTTGGCAGTGCTGGATTAAGGGTTGGACTTGATGATGGTCTTTTCCAACCTGAACGACTCTACGATTTACCATTGTCCGGAGCGGTGACTGTTGGGGCAGAGCCGCTCTCCCCGGGCCCATTACCAGTTCACACCCACGAGGGACAGCAGGAGCCGGCGGGCTTTCCTGACACAATGGCCTTACCAGGGAGGGAACCCCCTTCCCCCAGCACCGCCGGTGCGCGGCTGGGGAAGGAATCAAACAGCGCGAGTGTCACCCTCAGGCACCCAGGCAGTCACTGCTGGCGGACCGGGAGGTGAAGGAGGCTCCCTGAGGTACCTCCCGTCACCCGGTGGCAGAGGGCACACAGCCTTTGCCAGTGGGACTCCCTGAGGACCAGCGTCCCGACTGCTTCCCCCGGTGCGGGAGCGCCCTCCGCCCCTGGCACAGCGCGGACGGCGAACAATGGCCCGCGGCCGGAGCCCGGCGGGTGCTCGGGGCTCGGTCCCGCCCCGCCGCTCGACGGCCGCCGCTGCCCGCCCTCCCCGCCCCGGCTGGCCAAGTCCCCTGAACTTTCCCTGGGCGCTCGCAACAAGCGGCCCGCGCCGGGCTGCCCCGGCCGCCGCTCTCCGCGCAGCCCACCGTCCCTCCCGCCGAGTTCCCTTCAAGCACCGCCGACCCTGGGAGCCTCCAAAATCCCTGCAAACTGCCCGCCTGGGGACCCTCGTCACGGCGCTTGAGAAGAGCCCGCCGCCGCCTCCGTTCCTCTCCCGTTCGCACCTCGCACAGTCCCCCGCTCGCCTGCACGCCCCCCGCCTTCCCCCGCACGCCCCCCGCCTCCCCGCCCGCGTTCCCTCTGCCCACCCCCGCCCGGGTCCGCACACGCCCACCCCCAGCCCCTGCCCCTTCCCGAGAGCCAGACCCGGGCAGAGCCATCCGCTGCCGCCAGCTCCCATTCCCCGGGGCCGCGCCGACCTCCGCGCGCTACTTCCCGCCGCCCAGGAGAAGACTCTCCACAAAGGAGGGAGGCAGCGGGAGGCGGGGGACACACGCACGCCCGGCCGCTCCGTCCGGATGCGGTGAGCCCCCCGCCTCGCCTCCGGGGCCGCGTCAGCGCGGGAGGGAAGAAGAGGAGCAGCGGCGGCGGCGGCGGCGGCGGCTCTCCGGCTGCCACCATGGGCTGCTGCACGGGGCGCTGCACGCTGATCTTCCTCTGCTCGCTGCAGCTGGTGAGTGCCGGGGCGCTCTTCGGCTTCGCGGGGGGCGGGAGGGACGGGCGCTCTGTCCCCCGCCCCGGGCGCGGCCGCCGGGGGCGCGGAGCGGCGCTGACCTGCCCGCGGAGCTGTCCGTGCCCGCCGCCCCGACGGCGCGCCCGCCCCGCAAGTTTTGCGGTGCGAGGCCGCGTGGGGAGAGAGCGGCCCCGCAGCCGGGGCAAGGAGGGGAGCGGCGAGCCCGGCCAGTGCCGCGGCGCCCCCAGCACGGGTGGCTGTCAGGGCTCCCTGCCGGAGGGAGAGCGGCTCCCCCGCCCTAGTGTCGCTTCGAGGCGGTATCGCTCACCGCTTGTGCTGAGCAGGGGCTTCCCCCGTCTGCTCGAAGTAGAGGCCGAGGGGAAGAGCGAGGCGGACGGTGCCCCCGCCTGGGCGGCAGTCCGTGCCCGCGGGGCGGCGGCGGGGCCGGGCACTGCCGAGCTCTGCCGGCGCGTTGGGAAGGTGCGGGGACCCGCGTCGCCGCCTCTTTCTTCTGTTTTTCTTAACCTGTGTAAAAGCAGTGTTTGCCGGCACTCTTCCGTGACTTTTGTTGGGGTTCCTTTCCTCTGATTAAATATTCCTCAGCGCGCAATCGAAACAACGGAAAGGTGCAGCTTCTTCTCTTTGTTTAGTGAAGTTGGCACGTTTATTTTAGAGAAGAGAGATGTTGAGACAAATATCCTCCAAACAACAATAATCCTTCCTCTGGCTCATTAGCTGGATGATAAAATAATGCTTTTCCTTTAGGAGTAGTTACCAGTCCCAAGAGTGTTTTAAAAGATTTTTCTCCTTTCTAGTGACTCATAGTCATCATTTTGCCACATGATCTCTTAAAACTAGTGCTGTTCCTTGTGCTGTGTGTCTGTAAAGAATACAAGTGGGATGCAGTTAGTGGGGATTTTTTGTTTGTTTGCTTTGTTTTCGTCATCCTTTTTCTGATCTTTCTAGTTGTCTGTCAGACCACATTGGAATCGCTTCTGTTTACATTAGAAGTGATTGTACATATTGCGTTTATTTGAAGATCCTCTTTCATTTTGAAGGCTTTGTGCCAGGTTCTTAGCCTGTGCAAACTGGTGTCTCCATTGTTTGCAGTGCGAGCCTGGACCTTATTCAGATGTGCTTTAGTGTGATGAGCCAAGTGTGGTTATAAGTTCCTCAATGGCACAATCTTGCCAAAAAGCAGAGAAGGCCTGCGATTTGCACTTTTAGTGTGAGGAAAGTGTTCTTTATACATTTCTGGTATTATTTATTTCTTGTTTTTCATCATTTTTGTCCTAATGACTGCAGAAGAGTTGCTTCTGATTTACTTCAGTGCATGCGGGAGGGGAAACAAACCCTATTTCCTCTCTCTGCCTGTTATGAGGGTTATAATAACTGTATTTACTATTCTGTAGAATTACTGGTAGGCTATAAAAATTGAAGTAAAGTGCGAATAGACACCATAATCTGCAGAGAAATGCATAAAAAGTATTTCAGAAAAAGATTCGTGTTTTATAAAAGGCCTATCAGATGATATAACAACTTTCAAAAATTACTTCAGTGCATAGTTCTTTCTACTGAAGTTACCTGTTATATAGTAATGTTCCACGGTCATATCTGTGTCTTTCAGGTGCTGATAAATGTCTGTTTTGCAAAACTTTGTCATTTTAATTTATTTTCATTTAAAAATAAAAGTCTTTCTTTATATCCAAGAAGTAATCTGGTAGACATGATGTTCTGGTTCTGGCCAGGACAGGGTTAATTTTTTACAGCATCCGGGAGGGGGCATGGCTAGAACTTGGACCTTATTCTATACCACCTCATCATTGCCTATAGCACCTCATGTCCGTTTCCAGGAGTGGGGGAAAGGGACTCTCTTCTGGGGAGAAGGGGTTCCTTCTGGATAGGATGCTATGGGCCAAGCTCCAAGCTGGAGGGAACCTGGCTGTGGTCATGTGGGCTTGGGCTCAATGAGCATTTTGCATGTGAATCACTCTCTCTTTTGCACACTTTTGTTATTAATATTGCTGCTGTTACTATTTGTTTTCTTATGTCATTGCTTTTTCCAGTAAATTGTTCTTATCCCAAACCATGATCTTTGCCTATTGTGCCTCCAGTTCTCCTCTCCAGCTTCCTGCAGGGAGAGGGGGACTGAGCAAGTGGCAGAGTGGTTTGGAGAGTCTCTATGGGAGTACTTTAGTGTGCTTGTAGGAAGTGTGGGTAGAGCCCCTCTCAAATCTTTGCTCACGAAGCCTAGCCATGATGATGATGGGAGTACTAAATTAGGAAATACCATTCGTAAACCAACACACACGAATTTACAGCTCAGATACCTTCCATGATCTCAGCAGTTGTATTGTTCATGTTGTTGCCACAGGCAGTTTTAGAGCTTTTTCTAACATCTTAGGGGTTATGAGTATAAAGCATATGCAGCAAAACTGCATCCCTGGACATCACTGTCATTAAGTGAGATTTATTTTACCTTGCATCCATTTATGACAGTTTGAAAGAAATATTAGTGATTGTGGATAATGTTTTTATTAAGTCTTACAAAATCCAAAGCACTTGTAGTACTGATTTGTAGAATTTCAGAAGTACTGATGACATATATAACTTGAGGAAAAACTTAAAAAAGGAGACAGATGGGCACATATTTTAGAAGAGGAAGTTGTTCACCTTAGTCATGTCAGAAAAGGACCTGTGAACAGTTCAGTCTTAACCTTAGGTTTAACCTTAAGATATCACCTGAGAAAGAGATATCTTATTAAACACAGTTGGCAACACCTTTTATAGCATGCATGTACTATGTTGATTCTTTTTCGTATAAGATGTGAAGTATGAATGCCAAATCCCTGGAGACATGTTCATTAACAAGATTTGGTTCTTGTTCTGAAGAAAGGTACATTGTTTAGTGTTCTCAAAGTGCAGTTTCTTGATTCTTTGAAACTTTTGTCCTATTTATCCCAGCAATATATATAAACAAGTAGCCTAGGCAAAAGCGAAGAGAACAACAGTTATTGCATGACAGTCAATAAAATACCTTTTCTCTAATGTTAACCCATTAAGTGTATTAACTGCAAGAAGATTTTTTTTTGTAATTTTCAGTGCTGTTTGTCAGAGGATTTTGACATAAAATTGGCAATAATACCAGTTTTCAGTTACATTTTGATCCATGAAATTGTTTATTTTTGACTGACAGCTTTTTTATAATAAGCACATTGAAATGTTGAAGTCAGTAATCCCAAGGACATTCTGTAGTTAGTCTTCTATCATTTAATGATAACTTCATTCACAGACGTAAATCCATATCATTATATGTAATAGAGGATTTTGCAAAAAATCATTGAGATGGAAAGCTAAATGGTACAAGTTCAGGAAAAGCTGTCAGCCGCATGGTTTTGTTGAATCCCTTCAGGTGGATTTTGCTTCTGAAAGTCAGGGGAATTTTGTGTAAGGAGAGATGAATCTTGCCCAGCACCCCCACTGCCCTTGATCCTTCACTGGTTTACTCTTCCTGACTGAAGCATTGTCCTATGCCATTGCCAATATTGTCAAGCAAAGAAGTCAGAAGTGTATGTATATCTTTTTGTGCATAAATCTGTCATTTAGACTATTAGGATCTATGTATACATTGGGAAAATATATCATAAAGATATATGAATCCTTTGGATTACAGTCATAATTCTTAATGGTGCCACTAGAAGTCTGAGATGTTGGCCTCATCTGTACTAGAAAATTAAAGCAGCTACCAGAGACTATGCCTGTGCTAGTGTATGAAGCTCTGCCATAAAATATTGTAAGATGAAAAGGTTTGTAAAATAAAACAAATTCAAAAAATATTAAATTCTGGAAGGGGTAAATTGACAATGAATTATAGTGAGATTTAGCTGTGTGAGTCCAATTGATGTTAATATATGTCACACAGTGAAAACCTTCATGCTGCTTTGTAAATGTGTTTCTGAGAAACTACCATTGCAGGATAATTTTGTTGCAACATTTAGAATAAGTGAAAGTTTTTGGGACCTAGAAGCATACAGATAAACAACCACAAAAAAACTCTAAATAACAGAGGTGGTGAATGAGATTTTCAAAGCGTTGAAGGGAAGGTTGATGGAAGGTGTGTGGCTAAGACTCCTAATGGCTTTGACAATTTCATTTCATGTGTTTATCCTTGGACTCCTCTGCACTGTGTTCATTTTGTAGGTCTTGATTTAGAAGTGTATGGTTTATCCAGTTGTAGTTAGTGTTAAATAAGCCTATTTTACCTGTTACTTTCCAAATATTTTAAGTGTCAGCAGACCACACTGTTTTGACTAGTGATTGCTTGACTAGTACTAATGTGATTGCAATGTGGTAAGTACTAGTGATTGTCATTTTAACAGACTAATCCTTCTCAATATTCACGAGATTTGTGTTTATGATTGCCATTAACATTAAGTATACTGGTGTATGTAAATCCTTAGGTTTGGAAACCGTATCCGTTAGACTGAATGACAACATTTAACATTTGTTACTGTACATCATGAAATTTCGGCAGTTATGTGGGGAAGTGATATATGCTGTTCACAGATTTTCATCTCATTTTAAAATACTTTGTAGGGTTAGACACTCGAACTTATGATCTTGACTCTTGGTGCTTGTATGTTAGAACAGACAGATATCAGTTACTGAGTTATCATCTCAGGGATTCAAGGGATTTGATAAATCTGA